CTGTTAGGAAAAGGAACAAGAAAAAAATTAATCTATATTGCATTTATGGTGGATTTCAGTTTCTCCTGGTAATTAATTAACAGTAAATGAGATGACAAAACATGGTTGATATTTTACATCCATCCAAGCAACAACTCCACCAGCATTCGGTAAATGACACACTTCCTACATAATTTTAGTGAATACAGTACCTGTGAAATAAAATAACTCATGGTTTGCTGGCTGAAAAGTCAAAGGTCTCCACTGACCCACATCTCCACTAACGTGAGTCTAGTCTACATCTAGACTTGAGCCCAGCAAGTTGCTTCATCACAGGTCCATGAAAGCTAATGCAGAAAGACCGTTTGTTGCCTAAAAACATGGGCCACATGTGTACCATGACATGGAAGTGAGTGGTCTTACCCAGCTATCCTTGCCTATTTCTATAACGACCAACTGAAAAAATTCATCATAAATTTGAGAAAAAATCCCACACCTCGGAGTGGGGATTGAGTCGTACATCCAATCACAGGATAAAAGCAACCACTCTCGTGTTTTTTCACAGGTGTGAGTAATGAACATCAAGATGGGGAAACTGAGGCAGAGCTGCTCATGCTCTTCCTGAGGTACCACAGACAGTATCAGATGCCACTGGCTCTTCCATCTGCCGTCCACGCTGCAGAAAGCCCTTCTTGATGGCAGGATGCACTTGCACAGTCATATTGAGGCCACTGAACTCATTTTTGTAATATATGAAACGTAACGTTTTATGCAGATCTGGTTTTACTATTTGATTTAAAGTAGTAATGAATCATGGTCCGTGCCCAGGACACACTTGAATCAAGCTCCTTCATTCAAACATGACTTTTCTAAATTAACACGCAGAGGACTACATGCACGGCCACCATGGGATCCTCACTCTGAACACTTGCCTGTACCTCAAGTTAATTTACCTAAACATTATTTACTTACATGCCTTTCAGTGTGATTATGGCTCTCCCAGATAAGTAGAGACATTTAAATTTCCCGTTTCCTTTTAAATGTTTACGCACTATAGCCTGTTCATTGAACTGTTTACTAAAGCCAACACTTGCTCCACTGTATCAACCTTCCTCCAGAGTTTTACTCCATCACAGCTCGTTTCTAGGCTGAGAACAAACTGCTCCCATGCCTCTTTGTCAAAACAAATATCCCTAAACACCAGAATCACCCACTTCACCCTGCAAGGGAGCACCTTTAAAAGAAAACAGACCCTTTTTCTTCAAAATCGCTACCAAAATACACACTGCGTGAGCTTCACGGCAGTTGTACTCTTGACTAATTGCTTTGACGATTTTTCTTCAAACCCCTAAATCTCTTTTCCTAAGTCAGTCACTGCATAACTATCCCATATAATGTGTATTCTTTCATTTGGCTTGCCATCCCTTGGCATATGATTTCCATGTTTATCTACATTTTCAAGCCACTGACCGCAGCACCTATGAGATCTACCTTTCTTCCACTGCTCACCATCACTCGCTGGAGCTGCTCTGTAGACACAATCAGAGAAAGTTCAATCACATTCAACAGCGTCATCCAAATCCGTTACCTATGTTATAAACACGCCAAGGTTCCCAAATGAGCCTGAGTTAAACCATTCCCGTCTCAGCGACTTAGCCACCCTTCGATTTCCAGAGCATAAAAGTATAAATTCAGCATGGCTGCATTCCATACGTATATGCTCTTCACTGTTAAATCGGTGTTTTGACAGTCTAAGCTGAATTATGGACCTAAAACTGGCTGGTGGTGGCTCCTCTGCAGTAGGGACATATCCCCATGAGGATATACTCTTATATATTTATGTCTGAGACAAGCTGAAGGAGAAACAGGTTAAGGAATTTGCCCTAAACCACCAAGTCTGTGACTGAATTGAGAGGGCTGATTTACCAAACCAGATCTAACTAACAGATTTTGAAAAATCATCGCCGTCAAGAATTGCTTGATGTGTGAGAGGTCAGACTACCTAGGCAGGCTGGATCCCTCTGTCTGTCTTTAATCTCCTGGCCAACCATCTACTCAATGCACTATTCCTATTTCTGAAGAGGTTTTCTTCTTAGTTTTCAGCTCTTATAAATCTGATCTGTCATTGCAGAATTTCTAATAATACGAGATCAAACTTCACCGATCTCTCTCTGGAATAAACTATTTAATATCCTTTATTTAAGACATGTGTGTGCAATCAATTCCGTGGTATTTACTTGTATTACACACACAGTATTCATCAACTTGACAATTTTTTAAAAGTTTTAGAACACCATTTCACTTAACAGTTTAAAAAAAAGAAAAAGAAAAGAAAAAGAAAAGATTTATTTGATGGTTAACTTTGGAACAAGTTATCTGCATTAACTTCCATTGTTTTGGCATAAAGTAGTTCTGTATATTTTACTAACAACAGTGGAGACATGATAAAGGATGTAGGCAGAGCGCCATAAACAGTTCTCACTGCAACCCACAGCGCTCGTGTAAAAGCATTAATTTTTCCGACTTTGATTGGAAAACGTCTCTGTGCTCAGCCACTTGGATTTTACTAAATACAACCATGTATAAAATGTTGTACCTGAATATAACAATTTTAACTGCCGAAAGACCATTGTAAATCATATGTAGTATAAACTTGTCCACATGATTGGAATGATATAATGGATATTGTAGTCCCTAACCAGCAGCTAATGTTCTTTATGACACTTAAATAAATGACCTGAAAATAAACTAATAACAACATGAAGTCTTCTAAACCTGTTCATGTGCATTTCCCCAATGGAGAAAGACAATGTCCAGTTAGCACATTCTTTGTGTTTACATTTTCTCCAGAATATTTTTGCTCCAGCTATTCTATTTTTCCTCTTCTAAACTCACATTAATCCTTCTTTTCTGCCACTTTCCAGACAGACTCATCTCTCCATCCAGTACCTGTCCACATAGCAGCCATTTATAACTGTCAAGAGCTTGCAGGCCTTCTACATCACCATCCAGAAGTCTAAAACCTGGAGAAAAATCAAGTGCTCCAGTGTTTTATTTGGAGCCAATATCTACTCCCACAAAGATTATCAGAGTTTCTGAAATCCTTGCCTAAATTTCAGAAGGTGCAACCTCAGAGAGTCTGGGTATGGAAGAGCAGAGCTGGGGCAGGAGCAGACATAGGCTTAGAAGGCTAGATAAAAGGAAGAAACTTTTTACAATGAGGGTGGTAAAACACTGGACCAGGTCACCCAGAGAGGTGGCAGATGCTCCATCGCTGGAAACATTCCAGGTCAGGCTGGATGGGGCTCTGAGCAACCTGATCTAGATGAAGATGTCCCTGCTCACTGCAGGGAGGTTGGACTAGATGATCTCTAAGGTCCCTTCCAACCCAAACTATTCTATCATTCTAAAAAACAAGCTAGAGAGCTACCACAGCAGATAGGTAGGATTTAGTTATCGAGAAGGATGCACCAGTTTTCTCAACCTTAGTTACAACACACACTAGTCACTTAAGAAAAATGCCACAGCATTCTATTTTTAATACGGGAGAAGGGTTTTCTTATTTCTATTAACTTGTGGTAGTGAAATCTTGTACACATGAAACTTTCCAGAAAAAACTATCATCAAAGCATAGAAATATTAACACTTTCAACAGATTCCACAAGGTACTGTCCCTTGTATTTAAAAAAACATGGAAAGTATTTTACTTTTATGCATAACTCATATATATTTAAACACTGAAAGTTCAGAACAAACAGTGAGAGATGTAGATATCTAATTTTAGTATCACGACTTGTTTTCAAAACTTTTCAAAACTATTTTTCTTTTATTTATTCAGATTTTCGAGGATCTCTGACACATTTTACAGTCAATTTTAAAACTTTATGAAGACTTTAAAAAGAGTAAGCCTTGAAAACTTTCGCTTTTTGCATAGGAGTATAGATGTTTTGTTAAAAAGATGGGTTAAAAATTCTACTAAGTTCATCCATAATAAAAATTCCATATACTAAAAGCCAGAGTTTCAGTCTAAATATTTGCCATTTTGAATAAGATTTTATTTTAAACTCCCTAATCTATTATCTATTCAGACTTTAAAAAGAGTAAGCCTTGAAAACTTTTGCTTTTTGCATAGGAGTATAGATGTTTCGTTAAAAAGATGGGTTAAAAATTCAACTAAGTTCATCCGTAATAAAAATTCCACATACTAAAAGCCAGAGTTTCAGTCTAAATATCTGCCATTTCGAATAAGATTTTTTTTAAACTCCCTAATCTATTATCTCTTTTCTTTTCATTTACACCATGAAACCCTGCTCTGAGGAAACCCATGGACTTCTTGAAGCAGACACGTGTGCTTTGCCCAGCTCCTACGTAACATGTTGTCATGTCACGTTGTATGTGTTCATTCGCTGCACTTCGTTTGTCCTCATGACAAATTACTTATGGGAACTGGTTTCTTTGCGTGGCACCAAGAGTCACTTTGTGCCCCATTTTATTAGAAACAACAACAACAAAAATAGGATGGAAGGGCCATGATGTCACTGCTCGATGAATACAAACCACATTAGAAAGACAACTGGAGTGCTGGTTTAGGTTAGGTTGAATTATACGGGCAAGTTCTGTGTGTTGCATACTAGTTTGAAAAGTTGTTCTTGGTGAGCAAGGATAATTTGTAAGAATGGATATAAGCTGGAAAAAAATAAAAAGAATCTGAATTAATAAAAACTGGCCCTTCTGTAACTCTAGTTACATTTGGAAGTAAAGTTAAAGAGAGCTCTGAAAGTGCGATGGATTGTATTTTTTTGTTTTCTCATTATTATATTGCCATTAAAAAGTTTAAAAATAATGAAAGGAGATAGTCATAACCAGATATATTAGAAACCTTCCCCGGGCCTCCGAGCTGGAGCACACACATTTCAGAGCTGCCGCGTTTCCTTCGTCACTGATGCACCGTCACGGCACGGCTCACAACTTGACAAACTCACTGTCTGAGAATTTCCTTTGTCTTTCTCACAATCACAAAC